GTTCTTTGTGATTGTTCTTTTGCTTCCTTGTGCGTGTTTATATACATTTTTTGCATTCAGCCATAAATAGCTATTTCAGTGAACAATTTGGTCCTCGAGAACAAAACCTGATAAACCTGAGGATTTCACATTCATTTGATGCACCAGGGATTGGTGCCTGTGAGGGAGTTATTTTATACTCTCTAGAACTCTTGATAAATATTTCTCACAGAAAATAATAAAAAAAAATGCATACACTGCAAAAACTGACAAGGAAAACTGTTATATAAAAACAACAAGTGTCTGTGAGAGAAAAAAACCCAAAACATTTAAACTTTTGGATTGTAGTATGGGCAAATGAGTTGAAAATGGCGCTAAATTGGCTGATAACCAGCTAACTGCAAGATCCTGCAATTGAATAACATCCGTGGGAAGGGGGGGAGGTGACAAGGAAGGAGAGAGCAGAAAAGATGGCTGTGTGCTAAGGAGGAAATCATTGACCAAAAAGAGCTACAGTGGTACATCCGAGGAGGGAGCATAGTAGAAAAATATGCATAGGAAATCCGAACACCGGGATATAAACACTCCCGATAGAGAATAAATCAGGGCGAAAAGGGAAGGGAAAAAGCCAGATAATGAAAGGGGAACTGAAAATAAACACCAGAATACTACCACACAGAGCACGGCACAAACATTTGTATGATAACATAATATTCCTAGTTTCCTCAGGAAGATCAAAGAAAGAGGAAGGGGTTTTGATGATGATGAAAGCTGATTTGAGACGGAATGTTCCATGCGGTTATCATGTTTGGTTGTTCTCTGTTAATTCCTTCAAACTCTATTGCTTTAGACTTTGCTACTGTGGCAGTAAAGTGAGAATTGAAAGCATAATATGAGCCTCCTGTCTGTGATAAAATCCAGGGATTTAAAATAATAAAGGGCATGTTTGCAATGTTGTTGCAGCTAAAAAGCAGCTGTTAAGCATTGGTAATACCAGGCGCTGGCAAATCGCTACAGCTGATAAGTACAGACAGCAATTTTAGCTTTATATCATGCTGTCCTGCTATAGAAGGGTTACTGCTTGAATCTTCATTTGTGGAAACTTTTTTTTTTTTAATTTTTATTAATTCTTTATTTTTTCTGTGCAAGAAAATTACAAGCATATGTGAAGTGCCACAACAGCACGCATAGATTAATCAACAAAAAAGGTACCGTACCAATGAATCACACTGGTCTGAATTAGAGTCCAGTGGGGACCGGGATAACCCCCACCAGTCCAGAGGGGGGGGAAACGGGGCAAAAAGATGATCCTGCAGAAGAACAGCTTCACATCGAACAGGGCCTCCCTCATCTGGCATAGGCCTCACAGAAGCCCCCCTCATGATCAATTAAAATTATATGAGGCACTCTGATCGACTCCTGGAGCAGGTAAGTTTCAGATTGGGGCTTTTTGGCGAGCTGGGAGTCAGTTATCTCACTAAATGTGAAGATCTGGCTTGGAGCTCACACAATGTGCATCCAGCCACCATGAAGAGCATGCCCCACCCCCTTGTGGAAACTTTTTACATTTCTTAGGGTGCATTTATTTTTAAAGCTGAGTCATTTTGCTTTGTCTTACTTCTATGCAAGCCCAGACTTGGAAAAAAATTGGCCCAGGGTACATCTCCAGCCCCCTTCAATAGTTTGCTAATCACCATACTAGCTGTTTCTGTTGCTATCCGTTGCTACATTGACCTTATTTATGTGAAGGTTCGGAGGGAAGAGTATCAGAATAAGACTATAGGGCAGTGACCAAAAGCTTTTTCCTGGCTAATCATGGCAGCATCACTTATGGGTAGCTCCTCCCTTAGCAGTCACAAGACAGGAATTAATTAGATTAATTAATCAGACTGATAGGTATAAAGAGTCCCTCCTCCCCTTACACCTCAGTCTTTTTTCCTGTCCTTAGCAAGTTCTACAGGACTTTTTACATTTTATTTTATGGCCACCTTCCTGCGTTTGTCGTGGGTTCGTTCCAAATGAAGTTCAGCCTCTCTTCATTTGAAGGACACAGTAAACGGCCTGCATGAGCAGGACTAACTGGGTCAGGTTCAGTGTAAGTACTGAACTGCAGCGTGGGAAGTAAGTGTTTGAGGGAGACACTGTTTCTGTTTATTTGTGGGGTTGGTTAGCCTTAAAAATTCCCCCTGTTTTCAGCCTGCCCCTACTAATTGGGGCCATATATTCCCCCCCATACCTTGTTGGCAGTATTTGAATCCATACTTAGGGGGTCTTGTATTCTGGTACCTCTCTGTTTTCATCTGGGGCTGTGCAGGCTTCCCTGCTCCCTGGGGCTCCCTGTGCGTCCTGGCGTTGGGGGCTGACTCGGAAGTGACTCACATGCCGGCCGCGAGCGTTTAGAACGCATGGCGTGCGTTCCAGCGCTATGCGCATGCGTGGACCGGGCGATCAGCTGTTCAGTGCCCGGTCCTATTTAAAGCCTCTGATACAGCTACCTAGTGCTGTATCTGCAGTCTTGTGTTGTTCTTCCCAAAGAATTGGTTCATACCTGTGTTTCAGCTGCTTCTTTCTGCGACCTGGCTGCTTGGTGGAAGTTCTGCTCTTTAAGGTAGGATTGCTGTTCTTACTGCTGATTGGAAGTTTGCCTTTTTTATCAGCTTGCCTCTTTTATCCCTTTGGGAAATTAGGTCTTGAATTTTTCTTTTGGTTCTTCTTTATAGTATGGATTCTCCCTCTGCCTCTGCAAGATCCCTCTCTAGAAAACATAGGTGAGCCATTTATTAATTTTTGGGGGGGGGGTTGTTAAAAGAGTGCCATACTGAGCCTGTAATATATGTCATATATGGCTTTATTCCAGCCCCAGCGTTCATTTGGATTCTCCAGCAAGAAAATCATGGGAAAAGTCTAAGAAATGCATTAATTGTTCTTCGCCTGCTCCGAATGGAAGGAACCTTTGCAGGGAATGCTTGTTGGAAGTCGCAGTAGGAGCTCTCCACGGGACGACCTTAAGCTCTGGATTTCCAAGGCTGTTGCTGAGGGCTTTAAGGCTACCACGGGATCTAGTGGTCAGAGTAAGAGACGCAGAGCGGAACCTCAGTCTTCCAGCTCTGATGAGGACCCTGATGTGTGGGAGGACTCGGATGAAGGTGAGGAGGAAGCTGAATATGCCTCCAGGTCTCTTGACTCCAGGTCTGTTGATAGACTTATTACCCTTCTCAGAGACACGCTTAGTCTCACTGAAGAAAGATCTGAATTGAAGGAGGCTGACAGGTTTTTTGAGGACCTAAAGCCTAACAGACCTACTTTCCCGGTGCATGCATCAATCAGGGATATGATCCTTCAGGAATGGAATAAGCCTGAAAAGAAGTCCACCTTAAAAAATAAGTTCGCAAGGATTTATCCGTACTCTACAGTGGACTGCTGCCTGTGGAACTCAGTTCCTAAAATTGACGCTGCAGTGATCCATATGGCTAAGAAAACTACACTGCCTATTGACTCCATGGCATATCTCAGGGAGCCTATGGAGAAGCGTATGGATGGAGACCTGATTAAAGCCTACTTGGCCCTAGGGTCCGCCCTTCATCCGGCAGTGGCACTGACTACTCTCTCCAGAGCCTTGAAAGTGTGGCTCGCTAATCTGAAGGAAAACATTGATCAGGGTGTCCGTAGGGAACATCTGTTGGAGAGCCTCAAGGACTTTAGTCTGGCCACGGAATTCTGTTCAGAGACCTCCCTGGACATCACTCGCATGATTGCCAAAAGCATGGACCTGTCTGTGGCTTCTAGAAGGGCCTTGTGGCTTCATTCGTGGGGCGCTGACTATGCTTCTAAGGCTTCCCTGTGTGCACTTCCGTTCCAAGGGGATCTCCTTTTTGGGAAAATTCTGGAAGATGCTATTCAAAAAGCTGCTGATGGGAAAAAGGCGTTTTTACCTCAAGCTGGCAGGAAGAGTTTTCCCTCCTCCTGGAAGACCAAGCGCTTCAAGGATCGGTCCTTTCGGGACAGCAGGAGCTATAAACCAGGAAGGGAGTTTTCCATGAATTCTTCATTGAAATCCTATTCGCACTCATCTTCCAATAAGGCTTCCAGAGGAAGGGGTGCTAGAGCCTCAGGGAAGAACTTCTGAAGGTCTCCAGGCCCGTTCGGGGATGGTGGGAGGAAGACTGAAGTTCTTCTACCCCGTATGGGCCAGCAATATTTCAGACCTATGGGTCACTTCCATCGTAAAGGAAGGTTACAGAATAGAATTCTCATCTTACCTGAAAACTGCATTCTTCAGAAAATCAAAGGTGTCGGTAGGCATCAAACGAAGGGCCATAAGGTCCTGCATTTCTGTACTCCTGAAACAAAACGTGGTGGAAGAAGTTCCAAAACGGGAAAGGTTTCGGGGGATTTACTCCACAGTGTTCTTGGCCCCAAAACCACAGGGAAAGTGGCGTCTCATCTTGAACTTGAAAGGCATGAACGCCTTGCTCGACGTAAGGACGTTCAAAATGGAATCCTTGAGAACCATCTTGAAGTGTGTCAAAAAAGGAGACTGGATGACCTCAATAGACTTGAGGGACGCCTACTATCATATCCCGATACATCGAGATCATATACAGTTTCTCAGGTTTTGGGCGCTAGGAAGGCACTTCCAGTTCCGGGGACTACCGTTTGGCCTCAGCCTGGCGCCAAGAACGTTCTCAAAAGTTCTGGTCACTTTAATAGCCTTTATAAGGGAAAAAGGTATCGAGATCTTCCATTATTTGGACGACATCCTTATTTTGGGTCCATCTCAAAGGATTGTAGCTCAGCATACATCAGTGGCAATGTCCATTCTTCAAGACCATGGTTGGCTTCTGAACGTAGAAAAGAGCTCCCTCGTTCCTGTGCAAACTATCATTTTTCTGGGTGCAGTGGTGAACACCGTGTCTGCACATGTGTTCCTGTCTCCAGAAAGGGTCACGAAGATCAAAGACAAAGTGAGGAAGCTACAAGTTCTCGAAGCTGCACCTGCAAGAGAAGTCATGAGTCTCCTGGGTTCCTTGACATCGACAATAGGGTTGGTGAAGTGGGCCCAGTGGAAGTTCTGTCCAGCCCACAATTGCTTTCTTCTCCAGTTCGACAGGGTGGAAACGGATTGGGAGCAGAGGATCTCTCTTCCCCTGCCCGTGAGGAAGGGCTTAAACTGGTGGAAAAGCGAGAGGAATCTGACAACAGGCTTCCTGTTGGAAGAACCCCCTTGGAAGGTTATTACGACAGATGCCAGTTCTTTTGGATGGGGTGCCCACTTCAGTTCTGTATGGACTCAAGGGAAGTGGACCCGAAAGGAGAGTCGCCTACACTCAAACTTAAGGGAACTGAGAGCGGTTTACAAGGCCATATTGAGATTCCTGCCAAGGATAAAAAATTATTGGGTTCTAATCAAGACAGACAACCGAGCGGTGGCCTCATATCTGAACAACCAAGGTGGCACAAGGAGCAGGTTGCTCCTGGAAGAGCTGGCTCCCTTAATGGCAATAGCAATGACCTATCTTCAAGGTCTGAAGGCGATCTATCTCCCAGGTTCGGAGAACGTGACGGCAGACTTCCTCAGCAGGAAGGAAATTCTTCCGGGAGAATGGCAACTAAACCCGGCGATCTTTGCAGAAATTGCCCATCGGTGGGGCATGCCCCAGAACGACCTGATGGCATCCTCTGAGAATCATCAGGTGGAGAATTACTTCTCTCTCCACCCGGACTGTCAGGCACTGGGCCAGGATGCTCTCTCTCTTCCTTGGTCGTTCGATCTGGGGTATGCTTTCCCTCCCCTACCCATGATACCCAGGTTCCTGCGGAAGGTTTGGTCGGAAGGCAAGAAAGTTATTGCCATAATTCCAATTTGGCCTCGGAGGCCATGGTTTCCCCTATTAACTATGATGAGCCAGGAACAACCTTGGCCTCTTCCAGTAATGGAGGATCTGCTCACGCAGGGTCCAGTATTCCATCCTTATCCGGAACGCCTCAAATTGGGGGTATGGATCTTGAGAAAGAAAGACTTCAACTACTAGGTCTTTCAGAGGCAGTGATCAATACCCTTCTGCTCTCTAGGAAAGCTTCTACTTCCTCATGCTACCATAGGATCTGGGATGTGTTCCAGGCATGGGCATCATCTAACAACGTGGACTTTCTGCATCCTAGCAATACTGAGATCTTGGAGTTTCTGCAAGAGGGCCTGGATAAGGGCCTTAGCCTCAGCACCCTGAAGGTTCAGTCTTCGGCACTTTCAGCTTTGTGCAACATCTCATGGGCTTCGGATCCTTTGATCTCCAGGTTCTTCAAAGCGGCCTTCAGGTTGAGGCCTCATTCCAGATCTACTACTCCTCCTTGGGACCATCCTCTGGTGCTCAATTATCTCACTGAGGATCTGTTTGTTCCTCTTGAAAGTTTGGATGCTACTCTCCAGACGTATAAAACTTTGTTTTTGGTGGCAATTACTTCCGCAAGACGGATTTCAGAGATTAAGGCATTTTCTACATCATCTTCTTGTTTACGATTCTACCAAGATAGGGTGTGTCTAAAACCAAAACCGGAGTTTCTTCCTAAGGTGGTTTCTCAGTTTCATTTCTCTCAAGAAGTGGTTCTTCCATCGTTTTACCCCAATCCCTCTTCTCAGGAGGAGGTTAGATAGTAACGTTTGGATGTCATGAACTGCCTGTCTGCATACCTTAAGCGTTCTGAGTCTTTACGTAAAACGGACCAACTCTTCGTTTTGCCGTTGGGGGCAAGGAGAGGTGAGGCGGCTTCTTTATCTACGTTGAAATGTTGAATTTCTCTAGTAATTAAGAAGGCGTATATCTCTAACAGTATATCACCCCCACGGGAAATAAGGACTCATTCTACTAGAGCATTATCTACTTCATGGGCTAGCTGGGCAGAGGTTCCATACGATGATATTTGCAGAGCAGCCACCTGGTCTTCTCCGATGACATTCATGAAGCACTACAAACTTGATGTGGATTCTTCTTCCACCTCCTTTGGGAAGAGTGTCCTGTCTACGGTTTCTTTATCCCGTTGATATTAAACTTTCTTTGCTGCAAGTGAATCAGTTTTGTGTAAATTCTTGGATTATTATTCCCACCCTATATTTCTGTGAAGCTTGGGTATTACCCATAAGTGATGCTGCCATGATTAGCCAGGAATAGAGAAAATTTATGACAAACTTACCGTAATTTTCTTTTCCTGGCTATTTCTCATGGCAGCATCAGGGTTCCCGCCCGTTCTTTTATTTCAGCTTTATAATTGGACTGAGGTGTAAGGGGAGGAGGGACTCTTTATACCTATCAGTCTGATTAATCTAATTAATTCATATCCTGTGACTGCTAAGGGAGGAGCTACCCATAAGTGATGCTGCCATGAGAAATAGCCAGGAAAAGAAAATTACGGTAAGTTTGTCATAAATTTTCTCTATTTTAGACCACGTCCCACTTCAGTTAGAGAACATGTCAAAGGCACACCAGCATGTTTACCTTCATAAGTGGTTTATAATGTCACATTGCTTGCAGCATTGCCAGAGAGGGATGCTTCGTGTAGACAGTATAATTGAAACGTGTCATGAAGGCATAACATTGTAGATATAGCACTGTACACAGCAATCCTTGTTCTGAGAAAAAGTCCCATTCTTTCATGAAAACTCCCTGTGAAATCAACCTACCGCTTTCCTGATCTTGAGATTAGAACACACTGAGCTAATGGTATTGCTTTCTGTTTCTGAATCACAGTCAGGGCCGGCCTTAGGCCTTTAGGCACCCTGTGCGAAAAATCTTCACTGCTCCCCTGGTCACACACACCCTTATCCATTGCCTCTCTTCATTCAAAACCTCCCATTTTGATGGGAAAACTGCTGGGTCCCCTTCCAGGTATGTGAAATACCTCCTAGCTGTATGATTGACAGCCAAGGAGGTATAACAGGGATCATTTCTAAAAGTGTTGACTTCTATTGAAATCTGCATTTATTTTTTTTAATTACAAAGAGCACACACTCTTTACATATAATGCACTCTAGCCAGCGTGTTTCTTTAAAGTGAAACTGTATAGGAAAAATAAACTTACCTTAAGTTGCCCCCATATTACATCATATAAGACAAACATCTTACATCATATAAGACAAAGATACATGATGTATTTTATGTAAAATATAGAGATATATTCACCTCTCCTCCGTTCAGGTGTTGACATCTTTGAGCTTCGTGTTACTCTTCATATAACACCTACCTCCGGGCCGTAATGCTCTCAGTCTCCGATCTTCTCCGATTTGCCCTAATTTAGGAAAACCTCCTCAGTGACACTGGCATTATGGCATCATTGCCAGCTTGCCACCGTTGGAATGGTGAGACGTCATGAAACTTTGTTTCTATACTACCTAGCTGCCACTAGAAGCGCTGGCTAGAGAGTTTCCACAGCAACCGCATGGGAGAGTAGAAGCACCTCCTGTTGGAGGTATTTTTTACTTTCCCTTCTCAGTTAATGCCTCGGCATTGAGTGTCTGCTGAAGCACTGACTGAGAACTAGGAGGAAAACCTACATTTAAAAAGGTTTTTCTCCCAATCTATACATTTGCAAGCAAAACTGCTAGCACAATTTATAGATGAAAGTTGATGTTCTTTCAAAAGAGACTACAGGTACCCTCCAAGCTAGCACAGGACAGTGAGAAATCCATGAATTTAAGTGCTGGTGCTTGCATGCAAGTTCAAAACCCCTTTGTAATTGTAATATATAGTTCTTCTGTAAAAGCAGCAGATGTGTAACGTTCACTAGGGAACCCTAACTTGCAGACAGGAGAGAGTAGAAAAAATTGCAACCTCCAATTAGTGTTAACCACTCCCTTGTGGTCTCTGAGGTCGTCACTGTGTGCCGGGTCACATGACCGGGTGCAGCACACATATAAGGAAGCTGCTCTGGAGTGTGCAGCTTTAGACACACTGCCAGTCTGGAGATACGGACCAGATGACACTGCTCGCTGTGATGAGGAAAGCAAGGTCGCCGAGATCAGCGCGTGGGCAGGGGACCTGACAAATCCCCCCTGCCCTCACGACCGCCAGGAGTGTGGGAAGCCGAAGTCTTCAAGGAAAAAATGAGCATGGAAGGCCCTAACAAGACGAGGGGAGTTCAAATCAGAGGCGGATATCCAGGAACGCTCCTCCGGGCCGTAACCCCTTCAGTGAACCAGGTACTGCAAGGCACCCTGAAGAAGCGGGAGTTGAGAAGGGACTGCACCTTGTACTCCTCGCTAGAGAAGGCACGGATAGGGCCGGGGCACCTAACAGGTCTTGAATACCAGTTACACAGGAGGGGCTTCAGAAGGGTCGTGTGAAACGTATTGGGGATGCGCAGGGACGAAGGCAAGTCTAGAGTGTAAGAGACAGGATTAACCCTGCGCAAGACTCCATAAGGCCCAATATATTTTGGTGCCAACTTTATGGAGGGGACACGGAGGCATATGTTTCTTGTGGACAGCCATACCCTGTCACCCGGCACATAAGCAGGAGCCACAGCTCTATGGCGATCAGCGACCTTCTTCTGGGATGCCGCAGCACATGTTAGAGCAAGGTAGACCCGATCCCACATCTCCGGAAGCGTTGCTAGATGTTCGTCCACAGTGGGTATTCCCTTGTCGGAGAATACACCGGGAAAGACGCTAGGTTGTACACCGTAAGCCACCTGGAAAGGACTCAAGCCTGTGGAGGCATTGATGGCCGTATTATTGGCAAACTCAGCCGACGGGAGGAGACGGGACCAGTTATCCTAATGCTCATTCACGAAACATCGTAAATAGAGTTCCAGTGATTGGTTCGCTCTTTCAACAGCCCCGTTTGACTGTGGGTGATAGGATGAGGAAAAGGACAAGAATATACCAATTTCAGTACAGAAGCCCCTCCAGAATCGTGAGATGAACTGAGGGCCCCTGTCACAGAAAATATCGATGGGTATGCCATGAAGCTGGAATACCTCTTTTGCGAAGACATCCACTAATTGCGCAGCAGAAGGAAGCTTCTTCAGCGGAACAAAGTGAGTCATCTTAGAGAACCTATCGGTCACCATCAGAATGACCGTGTGATCCTCGGAGGGGGGAAGGTCCACTATAAAGTCTATGGACAGATGCGTCCAAGGTGTCTTGGGCACTGAGAGGGGCATAAGGCAACCAGGTGGTTTGCTTATGGGAGACTTAGCCTGAGTACAAATTTGACAAGCCATAACGTACTCTTTGACGTCCTTCCTAACAGAAGGCCACCAGAACTGTCTTGTTATGTTATCATATGTTTTTGTGATGCCTGGGTGTCCCACTGTTTTGGACCTATGAA